CTTTTTCCATCCCTGGCTGCTAGCGAGGGTTACCAACGGTCGATTTTAACGCGAACGTGTCGATGGCGTCGAAACATGCCTCGGTGCCCATCGCCGGCTCTCGTTTCGCGTTAAAACCAGCGCGTTTTATTTCCAAACAAACGTTATTTATCAAAACTGTCTAGCTCGCGTTACGTTCTGAAATTGAACCTCCGTTAAAAATCGATTTACCCCGAGAGTTACCTCGTTTCCACTGCAACCCCTTCAATCAGCGCTTTCGCGCCGCTAATTACACGCCTCGTTTCTCACGGCTAGACGCGAGAAATCGAAAGGAAAACACTGTTCGAGAACGCCGCGCGACGATGGCAGCGGTAACAGCGAAATTAATCCGCGTCCCCGTCGATTTACCTTATCAAAATATTATTTCACACTTTGCGCGATCTAACGGTGTCGGGTTCCCGTGGAATCGAAGCACGCGTTTTACACCGTCGAGTCTTGAATTTCGCCCGCACCAGCCTGTTGCCGCGTCGTTGTCTACATCAGCCTGACGGCTTCAATTAGTTAAGACAATTATCCGTATTGGGGGGCCTGTCGCGCTTATCGATCCACTTAATCGCCACTCCAGATCCTCTCGCGGAGAAATCACGCCTAGTTTCACAAAGTCGACGCTCGCATCTCCTGTTTTGAATTTTCAGCGTGCTTTACGTTTCTTTCCGGGAATTACAGGAGTTACAGGAGTCCGTTAATGGCCCAGTTTACACCGTGGAAACTTTTGACACTGGATATCAAGCTTTTAAGATATCAAGACTTTTAAATAAGGTGCGCTGAATCATCTGGCGTGTACAATAAATAACAGTATGTTAATAAAGAAGAAAATGGATATTAATATTGAAGATACATTTGCATTGCGTCTCTGCGTTTGCGTTGATTGCGTTTTTATTTAAAGTGTTAAAGGAAAGTTTACATCCTTATTACACTACTGTGTGATGCACTACTTTTCTATACAAGCGACGAGGGGGCATGCGAGAGCCCTTTTATACTTTTTCAATGTTATATTCTCAAATACATCCTATTCGCTATTTCTCATGCGTCTAATTAATTCGCCACTCTCGAGCATCCCAAATCCTACATGTATGATTTTATTTGCAATTCTGACGATGCAATAAGCAAATAGAAGAAAATTCAAATTCAAACTTATAAGGATGAGAATGCGAGAAATGTAGCGAAACAGAATTAAATTAATCGTGCAGCAATGGAATCAAATGGAAGAACCGATACAACTTATTTTAAACATGAAATATCAAAGAATGTGGCAAAAAGTAAGGAGTAACGATTTTTTAGCACAATGGCCTACTACCGTATAAAATATCTATTTTACCATTTCGATACACCAACATTTACAATTTGATACAAAGACAGTTCTTAATACGCGTATCAACTGTTCGGTGTAAACTGGGCCAGTAATACCGCCATTTTGTTGGCAAATGTTCCGACGAATAGGGGCCGCAATATCTTGGGAAAATGGAAAACAGAAAGAGGGCTTGCGTAACAAGTGTTTACACGGAACTTAACTCAGCTTCCGCTTCTCCGGGTGGATGTACGAGGAAAGATGAAGGCAGATCTGGGCAAGTTCAGTACAAAATGAAAATAAGAAATAACTATTCGAAATAACATTTCAGTCTTTTATTTCCCGCGACGTTATTTGAAAAATAACCGAAATAATAATATCGTCGATGTTCGCTAAGATAGAGAATATCGGGAACCAATGGAAATACAAAATACACAGATCCGACAAGGAAGTATAACAAACCTTAACAAACGAAACGATCTTAATATTATTTGTACCGTCTACTGTAACCGTTGCAAAATAATTGTAAACTTTCTCAGACACAGAGCTATTTACACGTACGAGTATTTGAACGTTTTCTAAAGATAATACTGTTTCTACGAACTCTTATCTTTTGATTCTGTTGCCCAGCAAGTTCCATTAGTTTAGTAAAAATATTTTTTATAGTTAAACAGGAAATTCGTGGTACTATGTATACACCAAACGCTCGTTATTTCAGGACCGAGAGGTGCTTTTCGGCGAGCACATTGAGAGAATTTTGATATTCGACAGTCGATTAATGATCGCGCGAAATGGTGCGCTACTAGTGGGCACATTTCACTTGGTAGCTGACATGAATGCGTAGTCGTAAAGAGCTCGTAAAAACCCCGTCGTCGGTACATTTACGAGCCTGACCAGTGAACTTGATTGTTTGACCTGCGCACAGGTGTCTGTGTAAATCGTGGTGCGTCTCGAAATTCCGTTGAATATTTCATTCGTAATCTGGCTAGTTGGTACGCGTTGAAAAATTACTATCGTAACAATTTCGCTGATACTTAAATCGGCGAGCTAAAGGATGATACATCGCGTTAAAAAAAATGAAAGTAAAATGAAAAGAAGCACAAGGTTACCAAAGTTTCGTCACCGAAGCGTGTTTAAATTTTTTCTGCGAATTCGATAAAAAGAAAAAAGGAAAAGAAAATAATAATAAAGGTTCACGGAATGTAGCTTCAACGGCGTGTTTCTTCCCGCGAAAATTCACGAATAGATTCGAGAAGCATCCGATGCTATTTTATAATTAATAGTCTCGAACGAAACAGAAACTAGAAAGGGATACTTGCAAATTGGTAATTATTAAAAACGATACAAATGTTTATCAAGCGTCGCCGAACATTTTCGAATATTCTTATCGTTTCGATATTTTTCTTCGACATTTTTCTTCTCACCCGATTCTTCTAATCGCTACCCTACGCGTATTTCGAGAGGGAGACGATCGAATTCACATCCAGCCATTGTAAAAAAAAAAGAAATCGTCCGATCCACGAACTGGCTCCCAGTTCGCCCGACGGAAACGAAAAGACACCGATCTCGCATTCGAAAATTGCTCGTGTTTCGTTAATCAGAGCACGAGCGTTAAAATAAAAAAAAAATAAAAAAAAAAAGGAACAGTGTTTTCGATAACGAAACGACGCGTCGTATCGTCGACTCGTGGCGCACAAAAATCTTCGTTCCACACATTTGTCGCTCCATTTATTCTACACACGGGTACATCTGATTGTTAATACGCAGTGCTACATTTTTCATTTACCAACTAATAGGTCGTTTACGGAAGAAACGCCGTAATTAACTTCCGATTATTGCAACTAACCGCCCCCGCCAGGGATCTGGCGGGGGGAGGGTTTGGGGTGGGTGGTGGGTGGGGGCGATTTTATTTATTTACAGACTATTTACACGTATTACAAGTGAATTTTAATACACGACTCTATCACAGAGAAACGGTGAATCGCAGAAAAATGATTTAAAAAAAGAAACGAGATAAAAGAAACAAAAAACGAAACATCGTCATAAATAAAATCGAACGCAACGTACAAAGATTGGCACGGTTAACATTAATAAAATATATAACGTAAATAAAAACACTTCTCGAGCGGCGAATTAAAATTAATTAACAACTAAATTATATATACACATAGTTTAACGAATAAATTACGACGAAGTGAGCGAATCGACCTTATCTAGCGAGTCTCTCGACCGGCAACTTTCGCGTTACGCTCGGGGAATAGTTTTCTCGTTTTGAGAGCTCCACCGATAAAAGCTTTCCCGTCGGTTAGTAGTTGTCAGGCGACGATGAAAAGGAGCAAACATATTTCTGTGAAATTCATTTCTCTACTCGTCGAAACACCTCGGTCGATCCTAGACGAGATCGAAAGGTCGTACGTGTTCGATTCGAATTAAAATTTGGATATTACGATGCGAAAAAGAGATTTCCCTGTTATTGAATTTGATATACGAATACAGAACGTAGAAGTCGATCCGGTGGTTTTGGAAGTTCCCGAAACCGCGAATCGAGAGGGAAAAGGGAAATTCTCCCAGAGGGAGAAAACGAAAGGAAATTCGTGTTCGCTGAGAATTAGAAGACGTATTAGAATTTTTCCATACATCAAGCTGTCGATCGTTTCCTCGACCAATCTCCATAAGAATCTATCACCCGACTGACGTATTCGGACGTTTCATCGAGGTGCTTCGACGATTCTCTTTCACCTGATCGCTCGCAAAATAGGCGACTGTGTACGACAATGAGCAAAATGAATCGTTAAAAGTAATCACAACTTGTTAAAACTGTTGTGTCCCGAGGTTAGGTCATGCGGCACTTCCGAACGAAGGCTATTGCAACTACTTTATTTAATCCTAGCTTGAAGGGATTAGGTAAACCATAGACTCCGAAGATGAACTGCTTGAATAATTAAAGAGCAAATTTGACGACATCTGTCTCAACTTTTTAAATAATAATTGTACTTTCGTATACAGGAAGGAACAATAGACGCATTAAAAATATTACGTGAAACGCGAATACACTCGTGTCTTGGAGTCATGCGGTGCTCTCTCAGTCCAAACGCAGGGTCCCCTTAACAAAAACACCAACGACCTCCAACGATCTGATACACGAATCTCTCTTCGAAGCTTAACCGTAGAATAAATAACCATCCGACGATAAATAATATGAATTAAACAACAACGATAACGGTAACGACTTCTTTGGTATTAGACCACGTGGTGTCTCAGCTCAGGGAGACATTCATCCCTGAGGAGTTCAGGGCTCAGCAGCTTCGAAGTAAAAATTGCTAACGTACTTAAAATACCCTCATCGACAATAAATAATATCAAACAATAACAACGACATCAACAACTCCCTGTACGCCGTCTCTCGCGAATATAGGCTCGAGTCTAAAGCTGCGGACCCGCATCCGAGATCTGAACTGTGAAGCAATGGCGAACGAATTGTCAGGTCGTCCGCGTTCGCTGGAAAAAAAGGAAGCGGAAGCGACGTCGAACAGGAGTCGAGCTAATGCACTTGGCCACCCAATCGGACATTCGCGCCTCTCTCGGACCGAATCAATCGACCCGACCTCTGGAAAACTCTCGATTTTAGCAAAATTTTAGGAAAGATTGTTGAGACCACGTTTGGAACATCGACTTAGAGTAGTTGGATGGGGTCGGTCGGTTTGGTCGCGTAGAGAGTCCTTCGTCGAAAGGACGAGGTCTGGCGACACGGTCGGCTTTTCTCGCGGCTGTCGCTCTTCTTCGAACTTCTCGTGTTCCCTCGGCTGATCCATCGGTCGATCTCGGCGTGGAACTCTCTCGTCGCGGAAGCTTCTCTTAAGAATACTATCTTTGGCAATGTGACGTGATCTATGCGTTGTATGCGTGTGTACCTCCACCAGGTGTTCCGTCTCTGTGATCGTTCGACGACGTCGCACGACTCTCGCGTGTCTCCGTGTTTCCTGGCCCCCTGCAGTTTCGGTTCCCTCTGCAGCTCGCCTCGGCGCGTAAGAGTCGCGAGACACGGCTGGGCTCGGGACGCGTTGGAGAGTACGGTAGAAGAAGTAGTTCTGCGTGGTAAAACCGATTCTGGATATTGCCCGGTGTTCGACGACATGTCCCTGATGGTCCCTGTCGATGGCGGCCCGTGTAAACATCTCCGGAGTATTTTTCGATATTTTTATACCTAGTCGCGTGATTAACGTGAAATTTCAGGACGAGAAGCTGCTGAAATCGAAAATGCACGGGGCCATTCAAAACGTTTAAAATGCGAATATTTGGGATGAGATTCCTTTTGTTTGTTTGTTTGTTTGTTGTTGCGTGCGTGTATGTGTGTGTGGTTTGGCAATATAACGGAGAATCTCTCGTTGCGAGGTACGGGTCGCTTGTTGCTTGCGTGGATGATGATACGGATGTATGGGTGGGCGTGTACGTATTATGCGTATCTTGTTCGCGATTGCGGTTTAACGTATAAAGTTGCCCTCTTCTCAGAGACTGCTACCGAACTCGCTCGATCTTCGCCGGTCGATGTGCTTGACGTACGTCTCCGAGTATATACTCTTAGTGCGGTCGTCGTACCTGCAAGCAGTACAAGCAGACAGTGGTAACCGATACGTGTGGTTCGATCGAGTTGGGATTATGTGGTCGGGAATTAAAATCGACGGTTGTGCGGGTACGCTTGCGGTCGACCTTAGAGTAGCGATGGGCTAGAGGCGATTTAGTTTTTTTGATCGATCGAGGAGTTGATACAGTATCGTCTCGGAATAAGCAAATCGGTCGCGACCGACGAGTTGCTTATCTCGAGGGAGGTGCGGTAAAGACTGAATTAGCAATTCCCGTGCAAGACGGGATTGACTGGATAAATGTGTCTATGCCATAAATGCACACACTCGGGAGTGAACTAGTGCGTTTATGGTAGACTTCGTACATACTCTGACGTTTGCCGACAAGCTTCGAACGTCGAGAAGGACAACGAATAAAGGAAGAGGACGGAGCTGAAACACCAGGGTATGTCGGTGAGACAATGTAATGCTACGGTGACATTTTTTTATTATTAACTTTTTGATTGTAAAATTTTTACCATCACATTCCTGACATTTTACTGATTAAAATCAGACCAAACGCGATACAATTCGGACGATATTTACCATGCATCTTCTTTTAGTCAGTGTTCTACGATATACAGGGTGTCCTAGCTCATCTGCTATAAAGCTATAACGGGGCGAATGGGGCGAATGTTTCAGCGAGAAGGAATTTTTGTTAACTTTCTCATTTAACGAGATACGATAGCCAAGTTCCATTTTTCTGGAAATTGCAATTTAAATACTTGTAATTTTGCATACGGCCGATAGTTTTGAAGTCATATATATGTAGCTTTATAACAGTTGAGCTGGGTCACCCTATATGATACACAAGTATGATACATACAAGTAAATATATTGCGAATTACGGCGTGTTTGAGCTCATTTTAATCAGAAGAATGTCAGGAGTATCCCGGTAAAAGTTTGACAACAAAAAAGTTAATAATAGACAAATTTCATCTTTGCCATTAAATTGTCTCACCGAGTAATCCGATTTCAGATCATGTTTCCACTACTCGGCGATAGAACTCCCGGACCCCTCAGTGGTGGGGATGATTTCAGTGCATTTATGGTAGAGATATTTGTGCATTTACGGAGACTTTACTGTAATATGATACTAACCGATTGATAAGCTTCTGCCGACTGCTGTTTTTCCTCGGACCCCTCTTTCTCTCTCACTCTCTGTCCTTTTTCTACGTTCAACGACTTCAAACAGAAAGGTGGGGATAGCGAGTTGCTTATCCCGAGGCGGAAAACAGTTGTTTATTTCGAGACAATACTGTATTACAGAAGAATCTATGCAGGACCTCGCGATTACTTTAGCGCCACTAGTTCGCACGCTCGTGGCTTTCAGCCCCGTCCCACGGTCTCCAACTGCAAATAACTCCATAAGCGATTTGTTTGCGTTACGAGCTTCTACGTCGTGTCACCCTAAGTAATTTATTTTCACAGCTGTTCGGTTACGACCGAAGTTAAACACCTGTTAAAAATACACGCAATGGAATAAAAAGATATAAAAACAAAACGCGGCGATATATCGTGCCCATTTCGCTGGCCGAAGCTCGTATTTTAATTTCCCGGGAAATTGCGACAGCTATTGCAACGTCCGCGTCAATCCGCGAAGTGTTCGTGTCGCAGAGGTCGCGTGTTTGAATATACACGGATACCGGTAAACACAAACATTTTTGCGTTCTCTATTATCGCAAGAGCAAATATTGACGCGCCGACTCGCTTCCAGCAATCAAGAAATATTTTTCACCGCGAAACGTAAACGGTTTCATTTCGCATAAACGAATCCGGGGCCCGCCGGAACCGATTGTCGAAGTCGCTTTAAAAAATTCTTCCGGAACGATCGGGTACGATAAATATCGATTTCGAGAGGCAAACGATCAGAATTTCCCGACGAAAGGGAAGCTTCGCCGTCGAGCTAAAAACTCGTCTTCCCTTTCTTTTCCGCGGTGAACCACTTTGAAAGGGGACGGGAGCGAAGTGGAAGAAGCACGCGTTTCCTGAGTTACGCTCGCATTTGTGTGAAAAAGTTGAGCATCCGGTTCTCGACTTGACCTACTTTCTCCTAGCGAAATTAAAAGTAATGTCCAACCCGCCTCCCTCTTCGCCGTCCACGCTTCTAATCATCTCCGTTTTATGGAATTTTCTTGCGTCGCGAATGCAGGTGGCGCTGAAGTTTTCAACTGTGATTTCCCAGGTTCGCGTTGCTCGGGATCGGTCGTTAAACCACTATTTCGAATTTAATTTAGCGAGAGGGGAGGGGGTTGGGGAGGAGGAGGAGGAGTTCCGTTAGCCAGGATATATACCGAAATTTTTGGTACATTTAAATTTCATAAATTCGAAATTGCCCCGATTGGGAAGCCGAAGACGGATCGCTTCATGGAGATCGCGTAATTCGTATGCGGGATTTTATACAGGATGTTCCTGAGTGTACAGCCGCAACGGTCAGAGGGGCGATTTCTCGCGAAAGAAACAAATCGAAAACGTAGAATGAAGTACTTGTTATCATTCTAGACGTCGTTCTCGAGAAAATCGATTCTCGGGTCATTCTACCGTATTGTGTTTTTAAAATAGATTATCGTTTAATTAAAGATAGTTCAATGTAATATTCATATTTCTTCTTGAAAAAATTCTAATACAATTATAAAAGCATAATAAATATACGCAGAAACTTTAAAATAAATCGTTTCGTAATATCATTTTGAAAAAAAATTAGCGTATAAGCAAGTTTTTCTTGGCCAATAAAGTAGAATGACCCCTTAAACCGTTCCCGGGATACGCGCGTCTGACCATTACTCGCCGTTTCCACTTCGCGCCGGTGCTCGCAAACATCGCGAACTTAATTCTATCCAGTTGCATAATAAATATACGCAGAAAGTTTAAAATAAATCGTTTCGTAATATCATTTCGAAAAAAATTAACGTAGAAACATGTTTTTCTTGGCCAATAAAATAAAATGACCCCATAAAAGTTCTCGGTATACGCGCGTCTGACCATTACTCGCCGTTTCCACTTCGCGCCGATGCTCGCAGACATCGCGTACGAGGAATTTTCTATTTCTCCTCGATTTCGTTATCTTCCAATTGAAACGGACCGTTCGAAACGAAACGTACTTCGATACACGTTACTTTCAAAATGTACGTGCTTAGCAAAATGTCCGCGATAAAAGGTATCGTCGCATTTGATCCGTTTTATACGGCCAAGCGTGTTGCGTAACTTTGATACGTTCTCTTCCATGATTTCTGTAATCAATGCGCGCCTACAGTCACGCTTTGCGGATCTCGGGGAACGTGTAACACGTAATTCGTCGGCCAAGTCGCACGCGAGAGCCGCGCGTTATCAAACGGAAGGCGACCCGTGAATCGGGACGCATTAATTAAATCATGCATGGACACGGCGGCGAACATTTTCCGAAATTACTTTCAGCGTCGGACACGCGAGGCGGACGAAGTTACGCGGCGCATTTAGAATTTTATTACGGTCGCAGCCGGGCGAATTGGACGAAACGTTTACGAGGAACTTTTACATTGAACTGCGGCGACCGTAAATTCTGTATTTTTGACCCTGGAATACCGTCGCGGTTCGCGATAAATTGCGATTAAATTTCTTCGAATTTGCTACGTTCGAGTCATAAAAAATTAAACAAACGGAAATAACTGAAAAGGTAATCGAAATTTCGAAAGGTAAATATAAATTAATATTTAACGGAATTTAAATATACAGATTAAAATGTCCTTTCGCGTTGTAGATATACTCTCGAGGGTTGTCACGATTCACGTCAAAAAATACAAAGAGGAAACGCGTGGTTTAGCTATCGCACCGCCGACATTCAACCGTGGCAGCTCCTATAGCCTCTACAGAACCCGTAAACGGATATAATATTGGCGCGTTCCGCGTTTGAAAACAGTCGAGGCACGGTATAAAGTGAATGGACGCAGACCAAAGTGAGCAGCAAATATTTTCGCCTCCCAAAGCTGCTGGACGATACTCGCCTACCTACTCTGTTGCCGTATCGCTGAGCTCTTCGATCCACCTTTATCAACGCATTTCCGTTTAAGTCGATAAAAAACAAACGGTCTCGGCGAAACATAAACAAACATTGGCAGTCCCCTAAACGTCCAGAGGCGTTCGGCTATCTACTCTTGGGAACGTTCTCGAAGAGAACGTTCTGAGAGGAATCTACTTAATTGGGTCGCGTTGACATCGACCGAGACGAGAATTGTACATCGAGAAACACGGATGGGGAAGAAAGGGTGGGTAGGATAAAAGCGATAGAATGTAGTGCGTACCTCAATGTGTCAGACCAGATCGTACCTTAGGGACGGCCGACGGAAATCGAGCGCCTCGAGGTCGGACGGCTCTCTCCTGCAGAGCGAGCAGAAAGCGCACTGCAGCGTGTTCTTAAAGGCTTCTCGGAAGTCGCGGTTGAAGTACGCGTAGATCAGCGGATTCAGCGCCGAGTTCATGTATCCGATCCAGAAGAGGAGCGCGATCACGATATCGGGGCACGGGCAGGATTCCCCGCAGAGGGTCGTGATGACGTACCTGCGGAGAGAGTTCACTTCAAGAGGCCACCCCATAGGCGAACATACGTTTAACCCTTTGACCGTGAAGGGTGCAGTAGATGGACGCTCTCGGGAAACGGGCTCAAAGAAATGTTTGTGATCCTTGAATCAATTTTTAAAAATTATCGACTTACAGGGGATGACGAGAAGAAACTTTTTTCTACTTACAGTTTATTTATAGGAGGGTTACTTTCGAAAATAAAAATTGTAGAGTCAGAAGTTCGTTTGGAAAAATTGAATTTCACGAAAAAGGTTTTGGGTGTTTTCAATTTTTATCTGTGAAGCTAGACATCGTACGAATAAACTACACATACGAAAAAGTATCGTTTTTTCATTCTCTATAAGATGATATTTTTGTTAAATTCTATTGTTCGACCGTTATTTTTTTTCCTTTATAACAACAGTAACAGGATCGGACCACTATGAGATCCCAGAAAAAAGGTCTTTTAAATTTTCAATTTTTATCTCTGAAACTAAACATCATACCAATAAACTATAAATACTAAAAAAAAAAATACGTCTTATTATTCCCTACAAGCTAATATATTTGAAAAAATTTACACCCGTACGCCTCTTGGAATTTCCAGCAAAACTCGTCCCGCAGTCAAAGGGTTAAAAGGGATCCCTGTGTCGCCCATGAATAAGCGGTTCCATCGTTGAACACGATCAGTTTATGGAAGAACCTCTTTTTCATAGGCGATGCGTGTCAAGGCTCTCGTCGTTTTCGATCAGCGTTGGCACGAGAACTCGTCGCTCGAGTCTCCTTTTTTTCTTAGAAAGAGCAGCAGACCGAGACGCGAGTCTGGGCCACTAGGACACTTTCACGCTAATGGGAGGATATCGGCAAGTTTTATGGCACAAGTTTCAGTTTAACGGGATGAATGGATCCGTTTTGGAAGGTTCGCATGCGGAAAGGAGCGAGACTTATCAGGCCACGATAGGATGAAACTCCTTTACGAAAAGTTTCGACACAGGGAATATTTCAGAGAAGAGTCTATTTGACGGGGAGTTGGTTCAAGTTGCTCAAGTCTGATGAACAGCGAAAGGTCCTTGGAAAAAAACAGCGCAGGATTATGCTTGGGAGAAGCTTCGACTAGGATAGTAATTTTAAGAAACGCCAGGCTACAATTTCCCGAAACAAAAAGTCGAGTAGCATACGACAATCCTTCGAACTTTTCGCTAGCGTCGCAAAGAGGATGATCGTCATCCACGCAACCAGTCACCCCTCGAACACTTAATCGCAGTCTTAGAGGCTAAACGAAGAGCCTAACTCCGCGAGAGATTCACAAAAATAAAACAAAAGAAATCACAAAGCCTGAATGCTCAGACGCACCACAAGAAGAACGGCAACCAGCACAGTATGAAGGTACCCATGATGATGCCTAACGTCCTCGCAGCTTTGTGCTCTCTCTTCATCTTCATGATGTTCTTGTCCTTCGTGGGGGTGTGCAGGTGATCCGTGCTGATCTCGTTCAACGTCAAAGTCTTGGACGAGCCCGCACTGTTCAACTCCCCGTTAAGATTGTTCAGGTCCTTGCTGGGCCTGTGGCTAAGCAACATCACGTTACCCATGCGGCTGTGCATCTGCTTCTCCTGCCTGTTAGCCTCCTTGAACACCGCGAAGTACGTGAGGGTCATGATCGTGCAGGGTATCCAGAACGAGATGCTCGACGAGAATATCACGTAGATCTTGTTCACCTTGAACTCGCAGAGTTCCGGATGCTTCTCCCTATGAGCTGTGTTTTCGGCGGTGGTGTACCAGCCCATGAATATCGGCATGAACGATATGAAGCCGGGCATCACCCAGCAGGCGAGCAACATGTACGCGGCGATACGCTTGGTCATGATGATAGGATACTTGAGAGGTTTCACGATCGCCCAGTACCTGTCCACCGAGATGCACATCAGATGGAGGATCGAGCTGGTGCTGAAGTAGACGTCTAGCGAGTTCCACACGTCGCACATGAAGTAACCGAACAGCCACTTTCCGGTGAGCTGAACGCTCGCGTTGAACGTCATCGCGAACATCGCCACGAGCATGTCGGCCAGCGCCAGCGAGACCACGAAGTAGTTGGTGATTATTCGCAGCTTCCTGTGACGCATCACGGACACCATCACCAGCAGGTTGCCGAACACCGCGGTCACGATTATCGAGCCCAGGAGACAGCCCTTGGCTATGGTAGCCGGTAACGACCACTTGGGCTCGTTCGCGTAGGTGCCGTTGACGAACTGGCTCTCCTCGGTCGAGATGGCGTTCAGCAGGGTCGTCACGTCCACCGAGGACACCTCCGTTGGCTCGGAGGTCGTAGCGATCGTCGTCATGCCTCGGCCTCTACGGCTGAACCGTTTTCCTTGGCCTTGTTCCTCTTCTTCGGTTCGAAGAGACTCGACGGGCGGCCTTAGGTCACGGACGTGCCTACGAGTCGACGTACCAGGTTGGCCTTCATCTTCGTCGGGGAAAGGGCGTCGCCACTTGCCAACTTTCTGCCGCTACTGGGACGCTTGCCAGCGTGAGCTCCGTTACGGGAATATTGCTAGCCAGGTAGCCGTTTGGTCAGCAAAGCTAGCCAGCAGTCGCAGGGGTTACGCGAGATGATTCGATGGACTTCTGGATCGGTCCTCCCCTACATGGCTCGCGTCGACCTCTTAACGGCGACCTGGAAACAGAGAGTCGGGACGGTTAGGTTGTCGTCGAGTGCTTCGGAGGGAGTTGGGGATCGTTTGGAGTGTCTCCTCTACTTTAACACTTTATTTACTGGCGAGACTTAAGGTAGATACAGATTGAGTGGGAACACATCACGTCAGTGTAATGTGAGCCGTAGGTACACAAAACCCTATGCTAGGATTTTGTACCAGACGCATCGTCAGACTGGATGCAATGGAAGGGTTAATATTGCCCAAGGTTTTCTCGATAAACATCAAAATTGCTCGCAGAATATTTGTTGTGTGACCGAATAGAAGAGATGTGTGTCTTGAACTTTGTTTTTATTATTTAAAATCAATCCCGATTCAACATAGACTTCCGAGCTGTCAAACCGCCTTTCCATTTTCTAGCTTTATCGACCGATGCAGCATCAGCGGTTGGTTTAGCGCAACCGTTTTACGCTATTTGAACATGATACGAAGTTCTTATCGTCTCGAATGATGTATTCCAGTCGAGTGGGGTATCAAGCGCACTAGACGACCCACTTTATTCGATTTGTTTGTGCTACTTGCTTAATCTACTCAATCCATTACAATCATTCGGGCTATTCAATTTATTCAGTCTGCACGGCACTATACCGTGCCAGCAGATTTATTTGCTCGCGACTCCTCTCCTTCTCGAGCCGTAAACGCCCGATAAAACTTCTTAGCCGATCTCGAGACCCCTCTCTACGGAATCTCCTGTCTCCAGTGTGTATTTTTTCAGAAGCCTGAGCTCCCGATTAAGCTAATTACAGTAATGTCTCCATAAATGCACAAATTTATCTACGATAAATGCACATGAACCATCGCCACCACTGGGAGGTATAACCCTTAAGGAGTCTAGGAGTTCGATCATCGAGCAGTGTAACATGATCCGGGATCGGATTACTCGGGCGAGACAATTCAATGGCAAAGGTGAAATTTTTCTATTATTATCTTTTTTGTTGTCAAAATTAATACCGGGATATTCCTGACACTTTTCTGATTAAAATGAGCTCAAACACGACGTAATTCGCAATATATTTACTTGTAACAACTTATTATGCATCATACAGGGTGTCCCAACTCAACTGTCATAAAGCTACATATAATATATAAAATATTTCAGCGGGTTTTTAATAAAATTTAGGGATTTTTTAACTTGCGTCAAGGGAAAATCGTTCTGTACTGGTTGGTACCACTGTCAGCGGCGCCACAGTTCGCCCGAGGTCCGCGCATGGAGCTCAAGAACAACCATCGGCGAACAGCAAACATCGGCGTTACCTTAACCGTTATCGCGACGATTGCGACAACTAGCTCCTTCTGGTGTCCTTCTTCCAGCCGGAGAATAACTGCGCGACCCTTTGAACAGCTGCGCGAGTTTCCCGATTGTGTCGCGCACCACTCGAAACGAGGACGTGCCGGAAGAATGAGTAACCTTGAATCGGAAGCCCCTTTTTCTGCCGCGTCGTCTGTCTCTCCAGCCCCGTTGACCGTTTCGCGACAGGGCCGTGTCAAGTGCACTCCCGTTCCGTCGGTGTAATTTATGATCCGCTATTTTTGCGGTACATTTGGGTCAATTATTCCGACCGCGGGCGTCGCCAGGCTGCGATCCCGCCCGATGAAAAACAGTCGCCCCTCGGCGTCCCGGCCTCGAGGACGGCACTTTTATTCCGCCGCGATGGAAGCGACAGCGCCGCATGGGAACCAGGGATATATCCGCGTCTCTTGGCCAGCTTTGATTACTCCGCCTTTGTCCTTCGAGGTTTTGCGTCCCGGCCTTCTGTCGCGTCTATGAAGGATCGCCCGGCGAACGATGCCATCCTTGATCTGTGTTTGATGCCGGCAAGCAAGCGAGGGGGAAAAAGCCTTGATGGATGGTCTCATGCTAAGTTGATCCCCTCGTCAGCGGACATTGTGGATCCACGACGTCTAATAGTTTTCTGCGCGTTGTCGTCGCGTCGGTTCGGATATCTATTAGTAGTGCCGGTTCACCGACGTTTATTAGCTCGAGGTTCGTGACATCTAAGGACGGAGGAGTTGAGGTTGGGTCGCCAGTTGTTGGATGCCAACCTAATCTCTACTATTTTTGGTTTGAGATAACATTGTCTTAGTACAAAGTACAAGAAAATCGGGACTCAAACATCGCACTTATCTGTGTTTAGATTAGTTAGATTAGATTAGTCGAGTACCGAACGTAGAAAAAGACAAAGAGTGAAAGAGAAAGAGATCTGAGGGAAAAAAGCAGTCGGCAGAAGCGTATCAATCGGTTAGGATCATGTTACACTGCTCGCTCGTGCAGAGTCAAGGGGGAGCCCCCCTTGTGTTGAGGATAATCATCTTGCATTTATCCAGTCAATCCTATCTTACATTATTATCCAGTCTTTACTGTACTCTGGCGTTTTCGCTCCTCTTCTTTATCCGCTGTCCTTCTCCACGTTTGAAGCTCGTCGGCAAACATCAGAAAGTATACGAACTCTACGTCAAACGCACAAGTTCATGCGAGCCGAGTCACCCGAGCTTGTGCATTTAAGGAGACTTTACTGTATAGCGATTTTCAAGCGTTTTCTATACCGTGTAATGGTTGTTTTGGGATTGCTCGATGCTTCCAACAAATAATCCCAAACAGAAGTCGAAGAAAATTCGCCGCGAAAGGGAATTGTTGTTACCACGAAGAAAAAGAATCATTTATCTTCCTCGTGTCGCCTTATCATCCATCAGATAACTCGGAAATCTTCGTGCCAGCAGTTTTCCACGCAAAGACGGCTACACGGCCTCGTAACTCGACTTCCTGGCCATTAAATAATGTCGGAACATCCGCGTTTCGATATTCCTACCAGTCTCGAAATAAACAAATACAAAACGATTCTAATTTTATCCATCCATTCCTTTCGCGAACTGAAAATTCGAGAAAGTATATTTCCTGCGAGTTACTTCGAGAACCGATGTGTCATTTGGAAGTATAGCTGGTCTGGCAAACATTTTTACAAATCGTATCTACACGCTCCGATCGCTAATGCCTACGATTCAATACTATCGGACAAAGTATCTACGCAGTGGCGATAAATTCGCCACGTCTGGCTCGCAACGCGTCCATACGTATCCGTGTTTCTCTGCTGTTGGATTCGCTGCACGGCACGCTAACGCGTGCCGTAAGTCATTGTGCTCGTCCGTAAAAAATGATCAGCCATAGGCGACGCCCAGCTGCGCAACATTCGTTCTTTTCGTTTCGCTTCGCGGACCGTGACTCGTCTTTGCGCTGGATATCTTCATTCGGGAATACGAAAAAATTCATGAATTTCCGCGTTTGATGCACCTGGAGCCCCGGTACCTTTCCAAATCAAATTCGACTCGCGCGAATCTACCTTTTTCAGTTCTCTAGTTCGACGAAGATTACAACTTCGGCCGGAAGAGAGTAATTCCGTACTCGACCGTGATAATCCGGTTTCTCTGGTTTATTTTAAACGACGAAGCGAGCAGGCGAGAGCTTTTTTTTCATCTCGGAGCAACTTCGCCCGAGTATTATCGCCAAGAATTTTATCAGCCGTGGGTGTCGGCAAACTTTTATCGCGTCGAAATTCGTTCGGGTCGATTATGGAAAACCCTTATTTGAATTTTAAACGGGTCCAAGTTTCGGCGCAACGAGTTTCGTATACCTTTATCAAAGTTTACAAGTTCGCAGCGGAACCGATTTGGATGCGTGTGTCGCGCGTACGGCTGTACGACGACGTCACGCAGTGGCGTGGAAAACAGATCTAGGTGGAAAAAAGTCTGTTAGAGTAGGAATGAACCTCTTGACATACAAATTAAATGGAACTTGATGCGATTGAAAAATACTATTTAATTTCGCTCAATTGAAGTAGAAAGTGGATGCTGAAAAAGTCTACCTCTTTTTAAAACAAATTTTGAATTTTTATTGATAAGACTGGTTCATAAAATTCATTCACCGAGATGATAAAAAATCATCAATGAATCATTTTTATGGACTCAGGGACCTGAAACACTGTACAAAAAAAAAAGCAAAATATAAATTAAATATTTATTTGCACCCAAACTGGCCATTCGTCTCACTGTACCGTCAGATTCAGAGCACATAAATTCCGAACAAGTTACGTTTGCTGACCGCCGCATCGCGAATCCTCCTTTCGAAACATAAACTCTGATTTTATCGATATAACAGTCCCGGAAATTTAATCTCCGATTCGATCGATGCCGACGCCTTAGCGCGCGATGAAAGATTCAGAGATAATAAAATACACGACTCGACTTTGGATAAAAAAAAATTAGATTTTAAATAAGAACAATATTCGCGAGCAAGATATTCTCTATTATTTTTCGTACAATACGTCGGCAAATACTGGGAGCACCGTAACCGTACTCCTCGAGAATTTTTCAAACGTAAGTTCTCCGCGCGTTCGTATCGTGCGATCGCGACTTCATTGTGCATCGACGGCCGGCTGAAAGCACGTCCAGCAAATTCACTTTTCCCCCCGGCGAACAATGGCAAGGAAACAAAACCAGGTCCGTGCGACGGGCAACAATGGTACACCAACATTGACTGCGAAAACAATGCGTAACACGGCGGAGCCTAAGAAGGATGGAAAGTATTTAATTACGAGGGTGCCACGACAGAAAATTGAACCGAACATTTTCGCTTTTACGCTGCCCCTGAAATGCTGGTCGGCGAAGATTAAAAATCTTTCGTTCGAATCGTAGGAATAATTTCGAGAGAGATCGACTACATGCAAAGGGACACGGCAACGCCGCCGTGTCGACGCTTTTTTTTTGGTTTTTGCGATTGTTGCTGAAAAGCCGCACGGCGAAGGCATTTTATGCTTGTTTGTATTGTACGTTAAAAAGTGTCAATAGACCTTACATACAGGGTGTTCCAAAAATGTTGGAGGTTCTTGCAAAGGGTGGTTCGGGGGGTGATTTGAAACGACTTTTTCCTTAGCGAAAATGTTGTCCGAGGCTTCGTCCAGGAGATATTAAC